GGAAACAGAAGAAGAAGAACAACTTCAACTATAAACAACAATCGAAATCTTCTCCACTCAACATTTTAAATAAAGGTATTTTAAATAATAATACCGAAGTACAGCAATAATAATCAAGCATAACTTTCTGAATGTGACGGGCGCCGCCATTTGATTTACTTGATTCCCTCATTCTTCGCTTCTTCTTCTTGTGTTTTATGGCGGTTGACAAACAACTTTTGGTGCATTACCGTTACCAACTGCTTGATTTCCTCCTTCAATACTGGCAGTAATACCGCAGATCGTCACTAGGAGGCGAGGAGTCGGGGAACCGAGATAGCGTGATGTGTAAACGGTCGTCAGAACCGAGCTCGGCCTGGTTAACTGATCCGAGCTCGGACCGGTCCTGGCATGGATCAGTTTTTTAAGGGTAGTGGAAATGGGGTATCAGAAGGCCACTATAGACGGTCCAATGGTTTCCTCTTGGGTGTTTTTAGGTTTGTGTTTTGGTTCATAGGACATTCTCCTAAAAGCTTTGTGGCTTGTCAACATGTAGTTTGGCAAATTTCAGTCTGGCTTTTTTAATATTTGTTTTCAACAATGGTCTCCCTTTAAGTCAACTTTGGCTCAATCAATGACAGATGGTACGATTCAATAATGATTATCCTTGAGCTTCAAGTTCCCCTTTAATCTCTTTAGTTTTTCTGGACCCTTTTGGTACCATTATTCTTATCCATCTCTTTGATTTGCCACCCAGTTTCCTCCAGCAGCCACATCCAGGGAGGTTGCCTACAGTCCCATGGATTGGTTTCATTGATTTCATGTGTAACTTTAGTCACAGGATCATCAAGCTGCTTGGAGATGGTCTGATAGTCTTGATCTTTAACCTGCTTGTCTATAATTTTCTTCCTGATGTCTTGAGACAACTAATACCTTTACTTCCTCTGGTCCATGTTGAGTGTGGTACACACCATGTCGCCAAACAGCACAGTGACTACCTGTAGCCCTATATATAGGCCCACTGACTGATTAGGAGATTGTAGACACCTATGATGCTAATTAGTGGACACACGTTGATTAAATATGTCCCATCATTTTTGTCTAGGCCTATTGGTTAAAGCATGGTTAAAAAAAGCAATGTCCTACTTTCATTTTTTAATTATCATAGAATATTTATTATTTTCAGATTCAGTTAATTCTTTCATTAAATGAGCGGTAGGAACAAGCCTGTTGTTGTTTTTTGTTTGTAGTAGGATGAATGTGATCTTATTTGTTATGTTTTACAGATATTTATCAAAGAGGCAGCAGCACTGAGGATCAAGAGTCAACTGTCTACCAACAATTGGGCTCAAAACAACAACAACCCCGTGGTTCAGTTCTCCCAACACACATCCACTGAATTTATCCAGCTCTCCAGACAACCTTGTCTGACTTGTACCATTCATTAACCTGTTACCTTGCAGTCACTAAAACGGTTTGGCTCAGAACTGATGCGTCCCCTCCTCCTTATAAATCCACACAGTTTCCTTCGTCTGCACATTTTGCCCCAAATGTGTTCTTTAAATTAATTGCTGTGAACTGTGACAAACTGCAGACTGGCTACCGGCTCATGATAAAGAGTTTCTAACACACACAGTCAAGATCACAGTGACCTGCAGACATCTGTAGTCATTCGTCACATTTCTGTTGGACCTTAAAGAATATGTTCCTGTGCGAACTGTTGGTTCTGTAGCAAGGAAGGCAACATGGAACTTTATTTTGGTTCAGAAAGCTAAAATAACGTCCAAGTGATTTCAAAGTACAGGGATTCATTTCTAGTTTCATGGTTATTAATGTCCGTAGCATATCTGGGAAGTGTTTGTATTTGAACAGTTTGAGGGCAATGGTTTAAAGCCAAATCCGATTCTATTTTAAAAACATTTCCCTTTAAAACAAAATGCAATGACCCATTAAAGCTACTGGGAGATGGAAAAAATAATCAGGTGGATACCAGTTACACCAATAACGTACTTCATCGCGCGTTGCCCGAAAATTGTGTTTCTAGCATTTCATTATTCTCTGCATGTAATTTGTACATGCTGAATTCAAAACGTCACCAGAAAATCTCAACAAAACAACGGTCAGCTGTTTTTCTTTTTTTGTTTACAATAGTTTTTACTAAAAGGTGTTAATCTTAGACTATTTGTGTTCTTACCAACTTCATCTTAATTTATAAATGAAGTGTAGTTTATTATGAGATGTCCATGTCTGCCTTTTTGTTTTCTTATAAACTTGCTGTAAATTTAAGCATAAAACAGTTTTTGTACCAAACCTGTCTCTGCTGTTTACTTTTTAACCCTAACAAATATGTTTTATGATTTTTTTTTTTTATACTTATTTTTTATTGAACCTTTCTGAACACATACAGTGAAGAGGTAACAATACATTCAACTTCATATACAATGTTGGACAACCGTGACCATATTTATCTGGATACAAGAATGGTATTCTTGCGTCTGTAGTCTCTCCATTTTTCACATTTAACAACAAACATGTCCTCCTTCAATCTTAGTCTATATATGTGTTTTTCTCCATTACAAAAATCTCTTTTTTGGGGGGGGGGGTCTTGTCTATACCATAATTTTGTGATGCTTTTCCTTGATGCTGAAAGTAATATTTTTAACAGGTATTTATCATCCTTTTGAATTACATCGTGTGTGAGGCATCCTAAAGTGTTTTACATGATCTGGGTATTCCATAACCCAATATGTTTTTCAAAATAAGGCAAACATTATGCCAGTATGTGGTTAGCTTTTGACAAGACCAGAATACACTCACCGGCCACTTTATTAGGTACCCCATGCTAGTAATGGGTTGGACCCCCTTTTGCCTTCAGAACTGCCTTAATTCTAC